TAGGGTTTATGTAGGGTTTATTTAGGGTTTTTATAGGATTTAGATAGGGTTTATAGATGATATCAATCCTGCATGACCCATCGTAAGAAATTTATATACCATAATTCCCATAGTTTAGGGTCCTTACGGGAATGCAGGGATATAGATCATCAGCAGTAGATTAGGAGGGCCTAGGGCTTTCGGCTCAGCCCCTAAACCCTAAACCCCAGGGTTCAAGGCTTAGGGTTTAGGGTTTAGGGTTCAAGTCTAGGGTTCAGGCTTTAGAGTTCAAGGGCCTAAACCTAAACCTTAAGCCCTCAAGCCCCTAAAGCCTAAGGCTTAAGACCTTATCCTAGATCTTAGGCTTCTAAGATCCCCTAAGCTAGGGTTCGGGTTTTTGGAGTTTGAAAAACCCTAAACCCTAAACCCCTAAACCCTTAACCCCTAAACCCTAAAGCTCAGGCCTCAGAGCTGTCGCTTCAGGCTTTGGGGTTTAAGGAGCCCTGAGCGCTCAACCCTATGGGCTTCGGGGCTTTGGGGTTTAGGGGCTTGGGGGTTTAGGGGTTTAGGGTCTACTGTAGGAGTTTAGGTAAAGTTTAGGTGTTTAAGAGTTTAGGGTTTAGGGTTTGGGAGGGGGGGTGGGGCATCCTATCGAGCAACAATGGGAGTTTCATCTATCCGGGGATCCATATCTTCTTGGAAGCTCCGCTGTGGGTGTGGGTCTGTAGGTATTGATGTACACATGCACAGATGAATGAAATTTCTGTATGGAGAGGGCAACCACATATACGTCCGAGTAAGTAAACATATGGGCCCTTAGCAATAACAACCTCAACAGAACCAGATGTCGATGTAAACCAGCCGCGACAGGTCCATGAGAACAACCTTAAAGTTACTTGTGCTGTCACGGTATATGCTTCAGCACACAACACTTTCGGACCTGAGCTTTCAACACATGTCCTAGAAAGTAGTGGTGTGAGGATCTTCAGTCTTCAGTTTCACTGATGTTGTGCCGTAGTTCTTTTGCCAGGCCCCGCCACCTGCAGCAGAAGCACCGAAGGTACAGAGCTGTTTGGGGGCTCTCTCTGAATGCTTCAATCTAATGCTTAGGGGCTGAGTAGGTAGCCTTTAACCTTTTGGGCTTATATAAACCTATTACAACTCAAAAGGTTAACCCTTTTGTGGTCTAAGGTACTCGGCCCCTAAGAATGCTTGAGGCAGCTGAAAGGGGTGATGAAGCTCTCCTGAACCTTGCCCAACCCTAAACCCCCCCTCCGGCTCACTTGAAGCTTGCTTAGGTCAAATTCCAGGTTAATATGGACCCAGAGGCCCTAAGGCAGTAAACCCCACAATCTGTATCTCTATTTGGGTTTCAGGCTTGTTTACAGCAAACGTGTGCGTTGGCTGTTTGTGGTATTACGACTGAGCATTGTATGCTTCCATGGTGATTACCTCCAAAATGACGCTGAGTTCAGCGCTTTAGACAGCGATTGCAAGTATTGTGTGTCACAGTAGTTTTGCCATTATTATTGCCATTCCTGCAAAAACACGAATCATACAGTACCGGCATTGCTTATTGTACGACGGCCATGCACCGCATAGGGGTTTGGCCCCACCAGGCGCAACTCCAAAGCTAAGAAAGTCTTTGCGCTCCAGTCCTCCCCCCAGCTTCACGAAAGTCCAGAGCACCAAAGCCCCTAAAACCCCTATAGTTAGGTCAATTATAGAGGCCCCTGTAGTCGACCCTGAAGCCGAAGAGTGTCCGTAGGAGGAGCCCAAGCGGTGTCACCTCCACACAAAGCCGAACCGCTGGTGCAAAGCTTGCCGGGAGCCTAGAGGTTTCAACTTACTGTCTGTTTTCAACATTCCACTTTCTGGGTGTGTGTTGTTGTAAGTCTTCAGACTTCCACTTGGGTGTATGTGTGGTAGTTTAGTTTAGGGCTTCCTTCTGAGGGGTGTACAGTGGGCACCGGCCAGGTGTCAGCTCAAGCCCGAAGGTTTGATACTTATGTCAGCGCTTGTTCTGGTGTCTGAAGTTGCAGAAGATGGGCTTTAAACCCTGAGCCCCAAACCCTAAACCATGGGCTCCAAAAAGCTTCGGGAGAAGTGGAGTTCGCTCTCCTTAGCCATGCCTTGAGGATCTGGGGCGTGCGATTTGGGGTCGTGAGTTGCCTGGTCTCCCAGCCTAAACCACATTCTCTTGAGGTGAACTGCCCTATGTCCCATGCAGATAGGCATGTGCGTATGTAAGTACGTACGTAGGTGGGTAGGTATTTAGGCAGGCAGGTACGCTGGCAGGCAGGTAGGTAGGTAGGTAGGCAGGCAGGCAGGCAGGTAGGTAGGTAGGTCGGTGGCTGGGTAGGTCGGTCGGCAAAAAGCGGTTTGGAGGTAGGTCGGTAGCTTGGTGGGTAGGTAGGCAGGGAGGGAGGGAGGGAGGGAGGGAGGGAGGCGGGCAGGCAGGCAGGTCGGTAGGTCGGTAGGTGGGTAGGTTGGTAGGTCGGTAGGTCGGCAGGTTGGTAGGTCGGTAGGTCGGTCGGTAGGTAGGCAGGTAGGTAGGTAGGTAGGTACACACCTAGATATATCATATAAGATGATATCGTTTATATCTATATTTGATAGACGAGAGAGAGTGAGTGAGTGAGAGAGTGAGAGAGAGAGAGAGAGAAAGAGAGCGAGCGATGGACAGCCATTGGGAAAGAGTTCAAGCCCGGTCCTTCGGAAGTTCCTGTGCTCAAGGCTTATGAGATCTGCACAGCCAGCTGAAAGCCGTTTGGGCTTACCAGGTTTTAGGGTTTGTAGGTCCAGGGTTACAAACGCGTCTTGCCTGCTGACAACAGAAACGAAAGGATTGACGTTGTCGAGTTTGGGGTCTAGTATAATTATATTCCACTACCAGGCAAGGCTGTCGCTGCGTAGTTGCGTCGAATCTACGGGCCGTGCTTACAGCATCTATGTTTTAGGCTTATGTGCGATTGCTTCGGATGTAAAGACGCAGGTTTGCCGCAGGTCCGACGCCTCGTAGTCCAAGCAGACCACGGAAACGTGACAACACCCTCAGCCTTCCACCTCGAAGCCGGGATTCTGCATGCTGCTGAGCCATGCTGAGCCCTACATGCAGAGTGAAATGTTTAGGGAGCCCTATATTGACTATAGAGTCTATAGCATATATAGACTGTATGCAGACCCGGAATATTCCTTAACTTGCCAGAAGGCTCCTGATCATGATTTCTGAAATAGTCTTCAGTTCAAGGGCTGCTGGCTCTCCGGATGCCCCGAGCCGAATCGGCAAAGTATCCCCACCCTGATCAGAGAACTCAAACCCAACACCCGAAACCCAAAGCCCCAACATCCTACACTAAACCCTAAACCCTAAACCCAAGGCAAAAAAATCCTACACCCAAAACCCTGAAACATCCTGGAGCCTATAATCTCTATAGTCCCTAAGCCCAACCTCATTCCAGAGCCATGCCTTCCTTCTTGGTGGCCACTGCACCGGTCGCTTGGCTGCTCTGAAGAACCTGAACTCCACTGCTTCGTTTGGTTCGCGGGCTTCGGAAGAAAGGTTTAGGGTTTAGGGTTTCAAGGCATGTGGAGTGTAAGCCTACAAAGTTTCTAGTTTAGGCCTCAAAGTTCGGGGTTTAGATTTCTCCACGGATGATGGCAGCATTCTTGGAAAGCTGGTTTGCTTTTTCCTGAAAGCTCACTCCGCACCGTGAAGGTTTGGGGCTTTCCTCTGCCCTCTGGCGGCCATGTCTACGGACATACGACTGCGCAGCCTCATGGACAAATGATTCGTGTCGGCTTTCGAATGTTCTGTAGAAGATGACGTAGGTTTGTGTGCAAGCGAGAAATAGAAGGAACCACGCACCACAGACCTTGAACACCATGACACCATGAGGTCGCAACAGTGGAAAATTCCTCAAGCATCTGCGAAATTGTTTAGGGTTCAGAGTCTAGGATCTCATGCTTGAGGAACTGCCGCGAAATGGGGCAGATCTACACATCTGGCAAAGAGCTCTGCGAAAAGATGTGGGGCACGGCCTTCCGATACGAACGCAACGCTGCTCGGACTGCTTGCAGGGCCACTGTCATGGCTTCACTCGAAATGCCAAGCCCCACCTTCAACATGAAATTCCGGTTCGAGCTGCATAGCGGCAGCTCAACACGGGGGAGGCCCTTTCCGGCCTAGGATCGTATAGGTTGCGGTTCTGACACTTCAACTGATTCCTAACATTCCGCCCCGGAAAGCAAGAAGCCAGGACTACGCTCTAAGAAGTTTGTCAATGAGAAGAAGTGACGTGTGTTGCGTTGCAATGTTTGAATTTGTGTTGCAATAGTTGCGCTCTGTGCATGAGTAGGGTCTTTGTAGCATCTTTCGCCCTGAAATACTAAACGCCTACGCCCACAAACCCTGAAGCTTATAAACTATAAAGCCTAAAACCCGCATGGGCCCTGAAGCCCCTAGGCCCTGAAGCCCGCAATGCGGTTTCCGAGGAGAACCTGGCCTATACAATGTGGTTTTTTGATGCTGAGAACCCCAACGACGAGGTCGGAATTTCGGTTTGGCAGGGTTTAGGGTTTAGGGGTGTATGGTTTAGGGTTCAGGGGTTTAGGGTTTAGGGGTTAGGGGTTCGGGGTTGGAGTAGGGCCCTGGGTTCAAGACTTTGGATTTACACGTTGTTTGTGTTGGGTTAACGGCTGTGGGCTTAAGACTTGGACTGTTGCAGGATGTCGGGTTCAAAGCTCACTGCTCTTGGGGGTAGGAATCTTGGTTTTCAGAGAGCTTCACGATGCCTGTGTCTGTGTAGCGGTTCGAGCCTACAGCCCAAGGACCCCAAGCCTTAGGCCCGAATATAGAAGTAGGAGGACTAATTCGTTACTACTACGTGTTATAGGGCTCCTCATTGCAAGTCTAGCGCTACATGCCGTAAGACCCAGGTCACATTGAAAAGATGAGGCCCTGTAGTAGACCCCAGAAATCGTAAGGCTCCTGTTTGGTGTTTCACTTTCGTTGAGAAGTCGCTTCCCGGTTTTCGAGCTATGCTTCTGGCCCAGTGTCTTGCAATGCAAGATTTAGCTGTAAGACTGGGTTGCCCGGCTGTCGTGCGGAGTTAGAGGGTCTCTACGAGTCTCTACAGTACACGGTCTTCACAGGAGTTTTTGGGCTTCCTTTTCTTTTGACCCCAACAGGATCGAACCAATCCAGGTCTCATCGCGGCTGGGGAAAGGCAACGCCACATCCTGCCACCTCAAGGGCGAACAGGACGGACGTCTAGATCCAGGGTTTTACAGTGGTTTAAACGAGAAAGTAGAGGGTCTGCAGAGGTTTTAGAAGGCTTTTGATGAGGGGCTTACCTTGCACCTTAAGCAGAAACCAGAGGCTTAGGGGCGCAAACCTCGCAAGTCAAGTCGTACAGTCGCACAGCTTAAGAGCCTAAGCCAAGCTTTGTCAGAGTCTCTCTGCAATGATGATCATGGCCAGTTGCTATCCGAGGCGAAGCTTCGTATGCCGAAGCTTCAATGACATTGAGACCGTATCAAGGTACCTCCAACCCACTGCTCGTGAAGTATACTGCCCACATTAAAACTCCAAACTCGCCAACCTTAAATGCTAACCTGCTGCCCTAAAGCCAACTTCAACACCGAACCCTTTTGCACAAACCGAGCAGTCAGAGTACTCTAAGGGTCCAAGTACCTAATGTTCATATACTCCCTCCCAAATCCAACCTTTTAGGCGCAGACTCAATAAAGTCACTAGTGCTTAGGTATCGGTTTGAAGTATCTTCATTCATAAAAAACATGACTCATGTTGCCTTGCTTACAACCGAACCTGTATCACCATGTTCTTCCCAGCCTCAAACTCCGTAGCACTAAGCGTCACAGCTCTCTAAACCCCTGAAGCCCGTGACCCAGACTCCAATCGCTCGAGCCTGGAGCTCTGAGATCCTAAAGTTCCATGCTAAACCCCTCGGCCAGCAATCATGGAACAATGAAGAGCCCTTACCTAGAGTAACCAATGTGCAATGTACCCTTTCAGGGATATGACCCTAAAAAATCTGGTACTTGTACCTGTTTTAAAGGTTCCTTGGTTCCTCTGGGAAAGCCCAAAAAAGCAAGCATACCGAGCCCGGAAAACCGTCAGTGTTTCAACCCGTAGGAGAGGCCGGGGCAAATGTCGCCAACACTGGCAGAGTGCCATCCCTGGAGGAGGGCGGGTAGGATTCAGCCTTCAGGATTTAGCGACTTAGGCTGGACCCCAAAAGTATGTAGAATAATAGCCTTTTATGGGTTTTGGGCTGTGCTTTTTGCCTACTTTTGGGGATTTAGGTTAGGATGATGTTACGGTCTTCGGGGTTCAGGGCTTGGGTTGTCGGGTTTGAGGATGTAGGGCTGAGAGGTTCAGAGTCAAAAAAGCTCGGGGGATAGACCTGCGCAGTTGTGCGTGCTCGTTGTCCGGCCAAAACTGGCAAACCGTGCGCAAGGTCACCAAGCGGAAGCCACGTAGGCGCGCGCTTTTGGATTGTTGCAGACGTGTCTGTGGTCGCTCCTAGACCAACAAAAAGACAGTTAGCACCCAGAGCCGTCTGCAGTGCCCTGTCCGAGCGTATTTCCCAAAACACATAAACGACAAAACCATGAGCATGAATCCTAGCACTTTTGGAGCCATGTGTCCGGCGTCTTGGAGGAGCAGCGCCTGCTGTTCGCAGAGCGAGGCGCGTCTTTGAAGGAGGGTGCCAGCAGTTGAGAGGCGACGACCCCAGGAACTTCAGGGTGCGAAACTCTTGACCCTAAACCCTAAACCAAGCCCTATAAACCCTAAACCCTAAACAAACCCCAAACCCTAAACGCTAAATCAAACCCTAAGCCCTATATGTGTTCTTGGGTGTGGGGTTTGGGCAGAGGGAATAGGATCATGGTTCAGGGTTTATAGGGTCTGGGATTAATTACGGTTGAGGGTTCAGGGGGTTTAGTGGTTAGGATTAAAGGTGTGGGATTATGGTTCAGGGTTTAGGGGCTAGGATATAAGGTGTAGGCTTAGCTTATGGTTCAGGATTTGGGGCACAGCGCAAGGGTTTTGCGGCTCAGCCATTCGAGTCGTTGCGCCAGCTTCACCGCAGCAGCTATGATCGGGATGCGCGGTTTACCTTCCCTAAGCCCTAAATCCCTAAACCCCGTGATTCACTGCGATTCAAAAACTAGCCCTAAATATTCAAACCCTTGATTGATCATGCTGTCGATATCTCGTGTCTTGGGAATGTGGAGGTGGCCACTCTCGAGAAGCTGAAGCAGAGACTGGGCGCTGGCTTTCAGTGGGACCGCTGCGGCCCCCTTTCTCAGGACGACCACTTCCTCAAACTGTTTTGCCAGACGCTTCATACGAGCATTATTTCTAACCATGGGTCACTCAAGACGGTCTAGTGATGTGGATGCTGCAGACACCCTAGGCCCGTTTATGCAAGGGGTCTAGCTGTTGGGACCCAGACTGACTGCAGACATGTTCCGAAGGGCCCTAAGTCCCCCTGCTGTAAAGCACTGGGTGGTTGAGACTGGAAGTGGAGAAGCAACAAGAACAGGAGGAGCAGAGTGCTAAACAGACCCCTCTACAACCATGAACGCCCGGAACTCGTTGGTTTGCCCAAGATTCTCTGCTATTCTTGCCGCGTGCATGATTGCCCGATGGGCTCTATTCTAAGGTATCGAGTCTTGCGAATATTGGCTCGGCTGTCAGCCTTTATATTCTCGGAAGAGGATTATGCTGCATGCAACACTCCCTCCGGGCACAGAGAACAAGCACAAGTTTGCGTAGACTCTGAAGTGTTTGCTTAGGGTTGCTACTTCAGCAGCCAATGCATGGCCGCGCCTTGCTGGCCGCAGGAGTGCGAACGATTCTTTGTGCAAGAGGCGTGCTTCTACGACTCTTGGACAGAGGTTTAGAAGCCTGTCAGTTCCCAGTCAGTCAGTTTAGACCTCAGGCAGCAGGCCCCGAAGTCCCCCTAGGGCAAATTCTTGCTTGCATGCAGCAGTCGCCAAACTGAGGAGGCTCAAAGTGAGTAGCGGGCTTTGGTTCGGCACATTGAAGCGGGTCTTAACCGAGGCTTCGGATTGTCTGATATGGGATGTGATTCCAATAGATGTAGAAGCCCAACAACTATCAAAGCCTATGCCTACCCCCAAAGCCCGCAGCCTAACTTTTGTCTTTGTATGACAAGGGCATCTACCAGCATCACATTCTCCACCACAGAAATGAGCCCTAAGAATTGGTAACTGGTCAGGCGTTCATATTCAGTACCTGCAGGGTAGAAGGCACAAGCATTCTGCGCGGCGAAACGCCGACCCATGTCCGAGGAGTGTGATCCCAACGCGGGCCTCTACCGCAAGTACAACGAAAGCGCATACGATCCACGATGCGATGCTGAGAACAAAGCTTATCAGCCCATCTACGCGGCCAGCCTACTCTGCCACCAGGCGACGAAATGGCGAGCTAACATCGAGATCCCAGAGAGCCCAAGCCCAAGACCTTTGAACCAAGGAATAGGTCCAATCTCGTATAGTTTTCCTAGGTAGCATTAGGGAGACCCCTTAAAGGGGACCCTTCTTAACCCTCCTCATGCTATGCTCTCTTAAACGGACCTTATTGAGA